AAAGACCATTTTCAGTAGGAGACTGGCAGATAGCAAAAAGGGAGGTGATGAACAAGGTACTGAAAAAATAATTGTTTGAGGCTCATAACAAAATGAAGTACTTTGTAGATGCCAAGAGGTCAAAGAGATCATTTGCTTTTTTTTTTTTTTTTGAAAGACCATTTTCAGTAGGAGACTGTCAGCCCCAAGTTTTGTGGGCCTTATTAGGTGGAAAAGAAGATCAAAACAATAGCCTATATACTAAATTTACCACCAGATTTTGGGATATTTATTTCCATGTTTCAATTATTAAAAAGTATGAACACAATTCCACCACTACTAGTAACAGGTTCCTAGTCACTGACTCAAAGGCCAAATTACGGTAGAACCTAAGTGCATACTGCAAAAAAGAACCATTCTCTGCTGTGGCAAACTATTTGATCAAGCCTAATCCAATGGTTGAATTTGTGGACCAGAAGAAACTATATGGGAGGATCAGACATTCTTAAAAAGAGGTTCAATACTTAAATGTTGAGGACAAGGTTCTTGTGAAGGAGCAGACAGATACCAGGAACAAAGTAATTCTGCAAGCTAGATCAGTTAAGTGAGTGAGTTAATATTTCCTTTTGTTTGAAATAACAATTGCTCTGCTGCATCTAGATTTAGTAGGATACAGATTGAATTGTCAGGTACAGTCGTACTGTTAGGGTTGTTATTGTGATGTGTCAAGGCGGTACCAGTATAAGTGTCATACAGGGATGATGTACCAATCAATACAGAATCTAATGAAAATATCACATATTCTGTCTTAAGTTTTCTCCTACTACTCTTTCTCAATTTTTCTGTTCTTCCAGCTTACTATTCTTCTTCCTTAGTTACTCCTTACCTTAAGTATTCTTCCAGTCAACCTTGGCCGCCTAACGAGTCAGTCGCCTGACACAGTTTCTCCCTCTCCAAGCCTTGAACTGATTCGTGACTTTACTTACAAAAATATTCAAACTATGCCACCTCCTCCATAACAAGAACCACCACATATGCACCCAATGCAACTTTATTGATTAACAATGATTCCACCAAATGTACGCCACTTGATGATAGACCCTCCTACTTCACCAAAACCAATCAAAGAGTGGAACCAGGTTATGGCTTGTGAAATCTAAGCCATCCTTTCTAATCACACTTTCCATCTTGTCCCACAACCTCCATGTAAGAATATTGTATACTACAAACAAGTGTACTACATCAAAAGAAGCTATGTTATGTGCATTGATTTCTACATAACACAATTAGTTGCTAAAGAGTATAATCAACAAATCTGACATGATTAATACAGAGACTTTCAGCCCAGTTGTTGATGCAAAAAGTATCCTTCTCATGGCGAGTGAAGAAGTTTTCATGTCTCAACCCTCAAGTATCTTCAATCACAAGCACCCTAACTACGTGCAAAGATTGAACATATCACTCTATGGCCCTAAATAGGATCCTCAAGCCTGGTTCATAAGAGTTCATTTCTTCAACTCGATTTTAGTCCCTTGAAGGTTGATTCTATATATTCATCATGAGGTCAGGTCATGGCAAACTCTATCTGTTTATAAATGTTGATGACAATATTGTAAGCGAATCCACCTTCATTACTTTTATTTTGTAAGCTCATTATATTAAGTCCATGGATTTTTGACATATCAGACATTTAACTATTGTCTAACATATTAGTACCAAAGTTTTATCCATGAGATCGAGAGATGTCTTGTCGCATCTAATTATTGTGAATAAAAATGCCTTTTCGGTAGTAGGCAAATTCTTGATGCCTCCTTTATAGGTAGTTAAGTTTTGGGAGATATTTCCAACTTGACTTTGAGAAAGCATACAATATAGTTATTTTGGGGCTCCTAGATAAGATAGTGGATTAAAATGGTTTTGAGGCCAAGTGGGTATGATAACCCCAAATAACCCCCCCCATCCATGGAAAATGCTCCTTTTTTGTTTTTCCCAACACCATGAAGAGGAGTGAAAATAAGCCCTCAAGGTTTGGAGAAGGAACCTAAGAGAGCCCAAAACTATCAACAAACAAACCGAAAGTTTACAGCCATCTCAAAATGTGAAAGAAAAAAAGGTTATGGGCCTCAGCATTTTGGAAATG